TATGCAGTCTATGCTCTGAACACAGTTTGGTCATTGTCTCTCTGATTTCCAGATGAAGGCTTGTTCCAGGAGGTGGTGGTGGAGATTGAGCGCCCTCGCCAGCAGAAAGCCTTCCTGGGTGGCTACAGGCACCGGCTGACAGGGGTAGAGTACCATCATGCCGCCGTCCAGACCTTGCCCAAGAGGAGGCCTGACAGAGGAGTGGTTACCTTCAGCCGCGACACACAGGTACAGAGCAGAGCTTCAAAATGAAACCATCACACAAAATATTAGTGTCCATCAGCCGGAAGAGTGGGGTTATTTGATTTTCCAACACAATTTAATACAAAATAAGGAAAACAGATAGAAATTCATGGTTGAAGAGCTCAGTGAAATACATGAAACCACAAAGAGCAATAGAAAAGCCAGATGTGTGTGTGTGCGCACGTGTGTGTGTGTGTGTGTGTGTGTGTGTGTGTGTGTGTGTGGTGCATTTAAAGGTCACTCATTACTGCGAACCAGCAATCTCATTCAAGCATGAGACAGAATATGATTTTATGTGCGTATTAAACAATCTAATTACAGACAGAAAGCAGCAGTGTAAATGAGCTTCTTGAACAAGAAGACAAATGGTCAAAGGAACACCTCTCTGTGGAGCATGAGATTTAATTAACTTGACTCTGTCTTTGTTCTACTTGCTTTATTCATATAAAGATGAATGTACACAATATTTTCATTTAAAATTAATGAAAAATTCCACACTGAGCTTTTTCACATAATTAAGTCCATGTATTTGACATCCTTGCTGATCATTTCATCAATAATTTCTAGGTTTATTTCTTTACTTCCAGATAATCCGTCACACTCAAAGCTTCTTAAACACTGACAGAATTTGATCGATAATTTTTAAAAACTTCTTTTCAACAAAATGTTTAGTCAGCGTAATGAAACTGAGTAAAATAAGGCTAGAAGTGCTCACGAGAAAGAATGTGGATTTTCTTTTGCATTTCTATTTAAAAATACTTACACTAGCAAAAACAATAATTACGTAGACTTTTCAGGGAGAATTTTTAATATTCTACATATTACATATACTCTTAAAGTTTAACAACAAGACAAACTGCAGCCTCGATGGTGACCACACAGTCGAAACGGCACCTCTCTAAACCAGAAGCTGAATATCATAACCTTCATGAAGGGATTTACTTGAGGTTGTAACACCATCTCCTCCCCCCTGCCTATAGCTTCAACCCAGACATATGGTAAATTAGGAATTTTACAGGACTTTCTCCCAATAAACAGAGGAATTTGAAAGTTGCTACAGTTAAATACTATGTGTACATCCATAGCATAGATAGGTTAACTGGTAAAGTATCTGTACCGCGAGCACTGTTGCTATGGTAACCAGTATCTCAGTATCTTTAGTAGGTCTAAGAGGATATCTATTTAACGCAAGAACAACAGTTTAAATAAATAAATAGGAGGGACAGATGGACAGGCTTTGTGAAGACTTTATAGCTTGACAGCAACATGAGGTCACTACTGAAGACGCACAGTTTTCCAGAAAGTTCAAGTACATAACTGAGTTATCAGATAACTGAATCAGACTTGGAAACCATCTTTTTCCAGCATGGCCCTTTGGACAAGTGGTTGGGAAGTGTGATGCGTAGGCGCATGTCCCCGAGTTAAGTTCCCAAATAGGGACTGTTTGCTGAGTGCCATGACTCAGCTCTGCTGTCTTTATGAAATAAAGCTATGAAACAACCACAAAAAAGGAAAATATCTTTTTACATCAGACTGTGCTTATGATTCCAGAACCCTCCAGCTTGTTCTTAGCAAAATTATCCAGAAAACTGAGCAGACATGCTTCCTGGAACAGGACCTGTGTGCCTGTGTATGTGTTTAATACCTGCAAATTGATTTAGAAATGAGTGTGAATGCCAGGGATTGAGATCCTGTTATATCAAACTGCTTTTTGCCAAAATTAAATCCTGTTTTATAGGAAAATACAAGAAAAAGGGATTTTAAAAATGTGTGGGATTGTATGTACGGAAAACTCTGAGCGGAAGCAAAGACGCCTTTTCCAAATCGCATTACAACAGACAAGAGACAGTCATGATCTCGATAGATATCCTTTGTCCATTTTTTTGTTTTTCTCTTGTTTTTTCTCTTTTTTTTTTGGCCTGTCAGCTCCTTGAGCCTGTAAGCATTTGTTGACTTTGTTGTTCTTCTTTTTCTCTTGTCGTGTCTGAGATAATGAAATAATTTGTAACACACAGTAACAGTTGCACTTATGAGTCCAGAGCGCCATCAGAGCTAAAGAATAGTGATAGATTGGTGAATATTTTTTGCAAATTTCACAGAAAAGGACAGATACAAACAATTCAAACTGGATCTACATATATACACTCAGCTGCTGTGTACAACAGCATAACTGGCCCTCAGAACATTCTCACTTTTTGGTGTCATGGATTCCACCAGATGTCAGCCCCATGCTTTTTGGTAATTCTCCTCTTCCTTCTCTCATCAACAAGGTGTTTCCATCCACAGAAATGCTGCTCATTAAATGGATTTATTTTGCACCATTCTGTATAAACTCTAACTTTAGATACTGCTCTGATAACTGCATGAGGATACAAGTGCACGGGTGGTCACAGTTTATACCCTTGCTAAACCATAATTAGTTGAGATATAATGATATATAATGGAATATATGTTGTATAATAAGCCTCTGCTCATTACCCATGACACTTTTTCTTTCTCATCTGCACTACTGTATGTGGCCAAATGTCCATGGTGAAGAAGTTCTTCCTGGCCCCTATTAATTCAGGCAGCACACAGCTCCAGTCACACTTTATAATAAAAACATGTTAGTTGAGTTAGCAAGGCAACAACCATGTTTGAACTAAAAGCTTCTTGACAGCTATAAGACCTCCAAGCAACAGTTTGCTTTTCATTCTTAGAATTATCTGTTTTTTTTTCCACCTCAAAGATAGTGTACTTTAAAAGGAGTTGTTGTCGTACACTGATACAACACCAGTATAAAAGAAAAACGTCATATAATTGAATTAAAGTGATTTTATAACTCTGTGGTGGACCGTGATATTCTCTACACCTTAGCAGGAGTGTGATAAGAAATACATCAACCTTCATCAGAAAGAAATGTTTTTCTTCTGGCTGTGTGGTGTAGTTGGATTTGAGACAGCAGCTGGTTGTGTGTGTCTGTATGCCCTTATCACATGGAGGTTATGTATGACTCATTCCACATGCAGGTGTCTGCTCCACACACAGCCGACCTTTGCCTCTGGATTAAATACAACTCACACACACTCGCGCTCTAATGATGGCACTTGGCTCATTAGAGATGTACATACATGCAGAGCCACACCACTGCAGTAATGAGACCTCCCTGGCTATTTGGTGCTCTGTCATGTTGTCAGTACTGTTATCACATGACCTGTCACCTCACTGTAAACACTATTTACACACATTATCTATTAGGTGTCAGAAGGCATATATATATAATATTATGTTATGTTATATTATATTATATTATATTATTAGTCCAGAAAGTTTGTGTTCTTGCTCATATTTTCTGGATATGAACTCGGTTCGTTTC